CCCCCTCCTCCCGCCCAAGACTCCTCTCATGTTGTCATTCAATTGGGATGTTCCCGGGCTGAGATAGATTTTTGAGGGGGGGGGGGGGCCTTAAACCTACGTTGAGAAATCTTCATTTTTTTCATTCTTGAAACTAAAGATTTCAGTATGTGTGCGATATTGTTTTAATTAAGTACTGAAATATGTGGCATCTTTCATCTCAATAATGCAATACGAAAAACTTCTAAAAAAATGACTCCATGTGACATTTTAGGAATTGAAACGGAACTACTTTTTCTCATATTTAATAACCGGAACTGTGGTTCTAGGTCTAATGCCGGATAATTTGTAGAACCGTCGAATTCTAGTGGATAGCTGTCATCACCTTAGACAAAATTTGTGGGTAATTACTAATGAATAATAAAATAGTTGTCATCATTACAAGAAATTCGTTGGCAGTAACTTTGGGGTCGGTGAATAATTGCCCAACGACTCATGGTTGGCTACCCCACTACTTGTATTCGATGAATAGGTATCATTATTCTTATTAACATGACACAAATGAAATCTTGTCTTCTTTTTTGTTTTGATTCATCAAATTTCTTTCTGCAACTATTGCGATTAGACATTCTATTATATAATTCACTATCATGAGAGAAGCGTATTATTTTCTTTCTGATAAAAAAAATTATAATTCTTGTTGTATTATTTAATACAAAAAGAAAAGAAATCCTATTTTGAGTTTGTCATAAATATATGCGAAGTCATGAAAATATACTAATCGATGTTAGGCACTGCTTTTGGTATTTCATATATCGAATCAGTAATGAGAGACAGCACATTAGAAGAGTATTTTTTCTTCTAATAGCTTTTTTTCGTATTTTAATTATGGTAGTATTTCTAGGCTTCTCTACGGAATGTTTTGTCAATGTTGACATGTATGAAACAAGACTTGATTACACATTACCATAATTTTTTTTCAATTAACTCTATGTATGCAAATAAACCTCGTGTTAAACGAAGCTAAAAATCTGTATTGTCAAAAAGTGACAGACCAGAATGATGTAGTACAACAAGGTGATTTTTTTAGTAATATGTACTCAGTATTTGACGTTTATTAATGTCTTGAAAGACGTATATATATAATAATCTGCAATAAAAGACAAGTTTACAGACTTTTTGAGCTTAATGTTCATTAAGATTTGATGGATAGTTTATATAATTATATTATGTTTTACAGATGAGTTTCAATTCATTAGATTTCTTAAGAAATAACTTGTCGTTCTATATTTATTTTCTCGGACATCTAGATAAAATAAATGTCTTTAATTATGTGTTGCTTTTAACAAAATGTTGATGTGAATAATAGCGCAGTCATCTAGTATATTCGACACAACTAATAACTACTTTGATTGTACAGTTTATACGAATGACAAATGTGAACAATTTGTCAACAAATTCAATCAGAATGACAAAATAAAATATTCAATACTTGTCTTGTCATTATATTCTTTAATTTCCATAATTGTTACATAGATAGTACGCAATATTTTGGAGTGTTTCCATCAGTTATATTCAATGAAACTCGTAGCTTCTGTTCCTTTTCCATATAATTACATAGTATGATTTCTGCTAGTTGTCACTAAATATTTTCTGCATTAGTTACAAATGTCGCCTGAAAAAAAAATGATATTCCGAAGTTTTTAAAGTGCATATTTGACATTATCAAGCGTACTTCGATTATTCAAAAGTTCATTAGAAAAACAAAATAAGAAAACTGGCTTATTCCACAATCGCTGATCATAGTATATGCTATTAAGTGACGGATAAAAAAAATTCTTTTTTTTATTAGAAAATTTAGTTGTGTGAATTGTATAAATGAGAAACATTAAGTCATGGGCAATCCTTTTTTGTGTTTCCCATACTGATCGCATATCAGTATGGGAAACCTCTGTAAGTGTCAAATCATTTTTAGACCAAAAAGGTATTCATTTCATGAGTAATAGTGACTAATAGAAAAGTCTAGAATGGTTTGGTTTTCCGAACCTAGATTTTTTTAGATATAGAAATTCTTTTGTCTTTTCCAACAAAAGAACTGTTTTTTCTCTTAGATCACCTGAAAAGAAACGACTCTTGATTTTTGACTTCAAACTTTACACAAACAATATTTCCTTTCTGGAGATGTAAATATTTGAATAAAATTTTCTTTTACCCATGAGAGAATTTCAAATATTGAATATTTCAGAATAGGAGGTACTAGAAAAGTTACATCTTGTTCAATGAACTAATTTTATTTAGAACTTTGTTCATGGCAAGGTTGAAGTAGAAACTGGGAAGTCGTTTTCTCATTTCATCTGAGTGCAGAGATCTGCATCATGGTCATGGTCGTGACTGTGGTATAGATGACTCCAAGGAACGCATTTTGCATTGAAAATACAAATGTTTACGTACACGAATGAAATAATCGATCTAATTTATAATACTATCTCAAATATTATTTATTTGTTTATCAGCAAACATAAGATGCTCGAAGGTCGTCAAAGCAACTTCTTTATATCTTTGTAGTTGGCCCTACAAACTGACATCATATTCTATTTTCGTCTGATGAAAGATGTCAGGAAGAAAAAAGAAGCGACAGCTGTTTCTGTAATATATGAAACAAGAAAATCAGTGTATGCCACATATATCTAACTGATTCTGATTGGAGATATTAGTGAAGTGAAGGTTAACAGTACTAGAGGCTTATTTTTAGATAATGTACTCTAGAACACCTTTATAATAAGATAAAAATTAGACACTCATTTTTTTATTAAAGAAATATAGTACGTTGTAATAAAAAGTCATGACTAGATTAATATTTTATCATCATTATAAATTCAATGATTTTATTCTTTTGTTTGTCGGTAATAAATTTTTTATTTTTATGTGTATTAAAAATTTAATTTAAAAAGATTCTACTAATTAGCAACAATATGTAGATATAATATCGTTTAAAATTGATTGTACATCTAATAGATAATCTTGTTTTCATAATATCTCAAATGAAGTCTAACGTATATGAACACGCACTTTTTAAGAACTTGCACTTCAGATTTTATAGTTGAACGGCGTCAACTATAACCGCTTTCCAATGTAACTTTCTTTGTATTAGATTGAAAAAAAAATACTCAAATTGATATCCTTTATATTGATTATACACTTAATATAAGAATAGACATAAATTTTATACGGAAATATTTTATAATTTTCAATATAGAACAGTATTTGCAGGCATGTTAACTACAAAGCAAATAAAAGATTCTTCAGAATGCTTTTCATATACGATATTCTAAAATATATAGTTCTTTATTCTGAAATATATATTCAGTGTACTATCCAACGTGGGAGGTGATATGGCGACCTTCCGAAAATTAGGTTGACTCTCTCGAAGTTTGTGATTCATTGTACTATATATTAGAGATAGGATTGATTCAGACTTTTTTGAAAATTTAAACCGAACCGATCCCATGTCTATTGTGTACCATGTATATGCACTCCTAAAAATAGGTATTCGCTCTTCTGGAACTTTAAACTGCTCATCCGACAGAAAAAAATCTTAATAAAACAGTGCGTATATTGTGATAAAATATCTACAACCAATTTGAAAAATACTGTCCACATATACATATATATGTTAAAAAAATTCGTGTATATATATATATAGCTTCGCAGATTCTTCGGTAAAAGCTTCATAGAAAATACGAGAGAAAGAAAAAGCTGATATGTTATTATGAAGACAAAGCATTGATTTAAACATACTATTCACAAAAAAAAACAATAAACCTTTTCTTATCATTATTGATGACATTCAATAAAATTTTTAAACCAATCAAAATAGGATTCAGTCAACGGTATGGATTTAGTATCATTATGATCACAACTAAATTCATCTTCTGGAATTGTTATTTCATGTTGTCGAGGACTGGTATGATCATTATTATTATTATTATTATTATTATTATTATTATTATTATTATTATTATTTATTATTAAATCATATTCTTGTTCAAATGAAGATCGTTGTATTTTTGATTGATTTTTTAAATGTCTCATAGGCAAAAGTGATGCAGCCGATGTTGTTGTTGTTAATGTTATAGCACTACTATTATTTTTTGATATTTTTTTATAAGCATTACAATTTGATTTGTTTGTTAATTCTAAATCAATTTTATTCTTAATATCATTTATGTGATTTTCATTTTCATTATTATTATTTGATACTAATTGCTGCGTTTGTTGTTGTTGTTGTTCTTGTTTTATTACACTTGTTTGTTCTGCTTTTTTAACTTTAGTGAAAACTAAACAATAAATACGTGTGAATTCTGAACGAAATTTTGTGCCATAAACAATAAACAAAATAAATGTTGTTGCTGCATTAAATGTTGCACAAAGATTTGCAATCGAATGAAATTTTCGTAAACGAAATGGAGGTTTTTCCTTAATAAACCTTTTTGCACTAATTAACCACATAACAGATATTGTAGCCGATGGTGAACGAAATACGAGCAGCATTACTGTTGTTGCTAATAACATTATTGTTACACCTAAAAATCACTAAATATGATATTTTTTGACTTCAAACATTTGTTTGTTTAACTCGTTTGAAGATAAATTATTCATATTTTCATGTTTGAACTATTTCGAAATTGAATTATATAAAATCTTCTTTTTTTTTCTAATCTCGCGAAAAAAAATCAAATACTTGAACATATGAAGAATTCCAGGATGAAAAACAGATAATAACAAAACTAATAATATATGCACTTCGATAGGAAATGAAACTTTTTTTTCTAAAGAAAGACAAGAGTCACTTCTAATGAAATCATTATGAAAATGTCGAAATCAACCGTATTTTTATTTATTTTGTTTTATAGATTTTTCTCATTATGAAAGTATCTTGACATTTTCTTTTATAACAAAAGAAAACGGAAATAGACTTTAGATAAATTGTGTCGGTATTGCTTATTAAAGAACTCGATTAGAACATAACTAATAAATTCTGAAACATCTAAAAACTGTTCTTTTGCAGAAAATAATAACTATACAGAAAAAAAGAAAATGATCTTAATCAATTGTTTGTTTTGAATTAATTCTTTTTAATTTACCTTGTTTTGTAGGCAATGGAGCATTATATTCAGCAGAACGTTTTTCAAGTAAACGAATTGATATGAGTAATTTACGATTAAGTATTGCAATAACTATTAATGGAATAGTATAAACACCAAGTGCATTAATTAAAGCATAAGTCCACCGAAATATTGAATTGCTTCCTAATTCGCTGAGTCTATATCGAAAGATATTTTTATTAAGATTAATAACAAGTACTTCTGATAAAGATCTATCTGCGTGTACTTCATATTCAAACGTAAGTGGAATAGCATAAAAAATACCAACGATATATATCATCAAAGTAACACGTCGTGCATTTTTTATTGTACAATAAAGTGGCCCAACAAATGGACGACATATCACTATGAAAACAAAAAAACAACGAAATACATTGATTTCAAAGAATAATCAATTTACTTATCCATCGATCAATTGTGAATGCTACACAAAGCCAAATACTAAGAGCACGAGATGTTGTACTAATTGCACCTAGATAAAAAATTGAAAATAAATCGAAACCAATTTTTTACGATTTAAAATACCAGTAATTGTTATTAATTTTGTATAAGTATATGTTCGTGGTAATTCAAAATCTGGTACTTCAACAGGATATGCATCTAATATATAACCGGGTATAAGAAAAAGACAAGCAGTAAAGTCACTTAAACAAAGTCCAGCTAAATAAACATAAGTTGAAAGACGCATTGTCCTTCGAATAAGAATAGAAAAACTCATTGCATTACTAATAGTACCAAGAAGACAAATAAATAAACCACATACACCATTAACATAATGATCAAATGGATCACGTTTAAATGATTTACGAATTGTTTCATATAATATAGCATTATCAATAACTAAATCGTCAATAGTAACATTTGATGATGAACTATCCATAATGTTCGTTTCTGGTTTTTTTTGTGATCACATGATTTCAAAATTTTTCTGTAATTCCATCTGTAAATATAAATTAATAATTTGTTTTCTTAAAGAAATTTTCTTTTTCTCGAAATATAGAAATGAATGGAAGTACAAAATTTGCTGAGAAATATTATAAGAAAGAAAAAAGGAGACAATAGGGTATAAACATTCATTTTTGTAAGATACACTGATTAATAGAGCAAACAGAAAGAAGAGTATGTAAATGACAGATTTATGCCGATAGAGAAGAGATTTAATAATCGTATAGTTTGAAAAGGTAATTCAGTTAACAACAAAATATTTTTATTACTAAGAAAATGACAATCTTATCCGTTGGTTTTTTAGCTCCTCTTTGATAAAACTCTTGACTATCTAATATTACGGCGTTAATGACAGACTTATTTTACAGCGCCTGTCAAAGAATCCAGTTACACATTGATAAAGATTAGAGAATACATCCATAGAGAAGAAAGGACGGTATAGATATACAAAGCAAAATATGTTTCTAAGTGGATATCGCAAAACAGATATTGCTCTATTTTGGCACTCTTCATGATATACGTATTTATATATATATACATATATATACATATACAATAAAATATCCAGGTCATAGAAAGATATATTATTATTGTTACAAAAGATAAAAGAATTGCAAAATACTTGTTATATTTTCTTACCTTCATAGAATTTTTTTTTATAAAACATCATCATTGTTTTCCTCTAGTTTTTCTTCTCTTCCTTTTCAGTTGTATCTCACTTTCTAACATATAAAAACAAAAAATGAGCATCTACTAACAGTAACACAGGAGTAACACTTTGTTATGATCTAAATAGACACATATATATATTGAATATGACAGTCGTTGTTTAACCTGTCACGTACCGATAACAGAATCTGTAAGCATGTTTTTGTGCGTAAAGTCTGTTTTTATACTCGAAAATATATAGTTATAAATACATAAGCAATAAGAATAGATATGACAAGAATTGATAATTTTTGTTTTTCTTTACACAACGGAATACCAACATATATATAATAATCGTATTCTTAGCTATTGAACATATTAATTTTTCTATTCACTATGGTGTCTTTTTTTCCAATTATTCTGCTTCGTATTCATTATTCTTTGTTAATAAACTTTCCTATTTTTCCTTCCTTTCAATAATATATCTCAGTATAAATTCTAATATATATTCACTTTTGCATTAATTTGTAGAAAATATTTACAGATTCAATTGAAGAACATGAGAAAGAAATAATAAATCAGTTTTAATTGATCATCAGCAAAGATGAAATAATGCATTAAAGCGCAAGCCCGGTAGTTGTCATATCCTGTATTTATAACTAATTATCAAAATAGTTTCCTTACATATAAAACCGACCGAATAGTCTTTCATCTAGACAATTGAAGGAGTTCTGAAAAAACATTTTCATAAACTTTTCCTTGTTTCTTTTTTCACTGAAACAAATCTTTATTGTTTTTCTGTTTCATCCATCATTTCGTATGCAGGATGGCTAACCAAGTTGTTCTAAAATTACAAAATATTCATTTTAATAACAAACCGACACTCGCCTTGATACTTTTCTTGTCTCTGTGCGTGACTGACGAAAACAATGAGCGATAGGGAATGTCAATAAGATTCTCATGAAGTCAAACAGCGTCCATATCAATATAGTAGAGATAAAAAAGGAACCTTTTTACATAGCATATTGTCCTCTAATACTTACATGTCGAAAGAAAAACCAACTGTGTTTTAATTCCTCTACTGCAAAAAATAATTGAAAATATATAATTATGTAAAAATGAGCATCATATAATTATGCAAAATATTCATATAATAATTCTATTCTTGTGTAGTGTATTCATGAAAAAAAATACAATGAATTATATAGACGGTTCATAGGTTATATTTCTTTTTGACTTGTAATAAAAAAAGAAAATGACAGTGAATGTCAATTGTTAAGAGATTTATTAGAAAAGAACAAAATCTCCTATGAATTTTGCTTTGATTTATTCTCTTGAGATCAACTTGCTTATAACTTGATCGTATTTTTGAGTAAATGAAAAGCCGATGATTAACGACATCTATAATTTATCTTAGACAATAAATATGATGGAATAAAATTTTAAACAAAAAAAAAATAATGATTTTTTTATTTTTAACATAATTTTTCCTCTCGAATTTACTATTATTGCACCATCACCGCACACCTATCGTGTATGAATCACATTTTTATCCAACAAGTTGTCTACCTTACACACAAAATAAAATCCCACGCACACAACAAACAATCTGTTCGTTCGTTTGTTCATTGTGTGTGCATAGCCATAATTATCTTTATTCTATCATTCTATCAATTTCTCAGTTTGTTCTTTTTCATTGTCCACATAAAAAAACATTCTACACATGACGAGTATTGCCAATCCAAAATTAACATCATCCGTCCTTTCAACAAATACAAATAGCACTAAGAATTCATCATCATCATCATCAACATCAATCAAAAAAGAAGTCAATAATAATACATCACGAACATCAAATGGAAATACTTCCAAATCAACAATAATTAATAAAAAAGAACCGATTCAAAGTTCACCAATAAAACGAAAAAGTCGAGTTTTATCAAGTAGTGACGAATCGGATGACGACAACCAATCATTGGTAAGAAAAAATAAACAAAAACAAAATTGATGTTCATCCCGCCTATTTGTTTTTTTACTTTTGACTTTACTTATTCAGTTGTTCGCTTTTATTTTTAAATTCATATACACACATAATATGTCTGTTCAGCTCACACTCGACTATGCTATTGAATATTTACTTCGAGCTGTTATCAGAGATATTGTGCGTGTTACCTAAAGCAAAAAAGAAAAGAACGAAAACCATGAACATTTTTCTATTCATATTCTTCTTTTCTGCAGGCTAAAAAAGTTGCTGCTATAAATGGCGAAACTTCATCAACACCTGTTACAATTAAAAATGAACCTAAAACTGAATTAACACCAACAAAAAAAGATTCTTCAGAAACATCTACAGTTAGAAAGGAATCTACGACTCCAACTGTTAAAAAGGAAACAACAACACCTGTAATTAAAAAAGAATCAACAACACCTGTTATTAAAAAAGAACCAAAATCGGTCTCATCATCACCACCAAAACGTAAAAGTGCAACTGTCGATACTGATGATGATGATATTCCATTGGTAAATTATTATTTTAAAGATTCTTTTTTTTTTCTTCGATGTTGATTTTTATATTCTTATTAGGCTAAAAAAGCTAAAAGTCAAACAGAAAGAAAATCAGCATCATCAGTTGTTGTAAAACAAGAAAAAAAATCAGATGTGAAACCATCATCATCATCATCAACTAAAAAATCATCAACAAATATAAAACAAGAAAAGGTTATACCTAAAAAAGAATCGAAACCTACAATAAGTTTATCACCCACGAAAGAAACAAGTGGAAAACGAAAGAAAAAAGAAGAAGAAGAAGATGTTTGGAGATGGTAAAATCTTTCTTTGTTTATTATTTATTTTAAGGTAAATATTTTTTATTTCGTTCAGGTGGGAAGAAGAAAAATATACTGATGGTCGTAAATGGACAACACTGGAACATAAAGGTCCATTATTTCCACCTCCGTATGAATCATTACCAACGCATGTGAAATTTTTTTATCATGGTGGGTGGCATTCTTAAGCTTTTTTTTTTGTTTTTAAAGTTTTCTTTTATTTCTCTCTTAGGTACGGAAGTTAAATTAAAAGAACCAGCTGAAGAAATAATGACATTCTATTCTCGTATGCTTGATCATGATTATACATCAAAAGAAGTATTTAATCATAATTTTATGTCTGATTGGCGTAAATCAATGACGCAAGCTGAACGTGAATTAATTAAAGATATACGTAAATGTGATTTTACACAAGTTGCTAATTATTTTAAAGAACAAAGTGAACAAAGAAAAGCTATGAGTAAAGAAGAGAAAAAAAAATTAAAAGATGAAAATGAAAAATTACGTAAAGAATATGGTTATTGTATGTGGGATAAACATCGACAACCAGTTGGAAATTATAAAATTGAACCACCAGGTTTATTTCGTGGTCGTGGTGAACATCCAAAAATGGGTTGTGTTAAAAAACGTATTCGACCAGAAGATGTTATTATTAATATTGGTCGAGAAGCACAGATACCTAAACCACCTGAAGGACATCGATGGAAAGAAGTTCGACATGATAATAAAGTATCATGGCTTGTCATGTGGACAGAAAATATCCGAGGAAATAATAAATATATTATGTTAAATGCTTCATCTCGTGTTAAGGTTTGTATATATGTAGATATTTAAACAAAAAATATTTGTCTCAAAGGAGAGTTTCTTTTCGTCAGTATAAACTTCATTATGAAGGGAAATGTCTGTGAGATAGTGAATAGTAATGTTTTATCTAACGCGTAAGCGGTGCCTCTCTGAACATCGAATCGTTCCTTTCGAAGATTGTGTTTATTGTACTAAATAATATAAGTCTATGCTGACAAAAAATAGTGTTTGTCCTCCCGAAAGAGAAATCTGAACAGAACATAGATGAGTAGATTTCTACTTGAACATTATCTCTCATTACTAAATAGATAGACGTATTAATAAACAAATAAGATTATTAATTTTCTTTTTCTTTTATATGAAAATAACTTCTGTTAGTTAGTATTTTATACAGATTTTCTTCTCCGAGAGGTGCCATTTAAAACCTCTAGGAGAGCAAAACACGTACTTTCGAAGGAGTGCAACTTCCCCATTGGATAAAATATTGCTGTTAGTAACGTTAGGTATTCATTCATCGGTTAAAGTGACACTAATAGTGCAGCGTAACATATGGTTTCATGGAAGTAACTTGCCAATCGTTTCGTGGTGTAGTTCATTAGAATTCTAGCAGAGAAATAACAGGGATGGAGAAGAAGCAAGTTTTTTTATCTTAGACTTAAAAATTTTTACTTTACAAAATGCTTCATTTAGGGTGAACGTGATTGGCAAAAATATGAAAAAGCACGTAAACTTCATAGAGTTATTGATAAAATACGCGAAAATTATCAAATCGATTGGAAAAGTAAAGAAATGCGTATACGTCAACGTGCTGTTGCACTTTATTTTATTGATAAAGTAAGTTGAAAATATTTGATTTCATTAGAAACAAATAACTAACAAATCGATTTTATTTCCTTTCAAGCTCGCACTCCGTGTTGGTAATGAAAAAGATGAAGATGAAGCTGATACCGTTGGTTGTTGTTCATTACGTGTTGAACACATTAAATTATACGATAAAATCGAAGGCATTGGTGAAAATATAGTTGAATTTGATTTTCTTGGTAAAGATAGTATTAGGTAAAATAAAAATAATTATCTTTTTGTTTTGCTCTGTACACTTTCTTGTTTATGTTATATTTAGATACACAAATAAAGTCAGTGTTGAATCACGTGTATATAAAAATTTAAAATTATTTATGGAAAATAAAGAAGCCGAAGATGAATTATTCGATCGTCTTACGGTAATAAACAAACGAAAAAAGACAAAAAAAAAATTTTATTTCTTTTTTTTGAAAATAGACAACAAGTCTTAATCAATATTTAAGTGAATTAATGGAAGGTCTTACTGCTAAAGTTTTTCGAACATATAATGCATCAAAAACACTTCAAGATCAATTAGATTTACTTACAGATCCAAAAGCAAATATACCAGAAAAAGTTCTTGCTTATAATCGTGCTAATCGTCAAGTTGCATTACTTTGTAATCATCAACGTTCAGTACCAAAAACATTTGAAAAAAGCATGGGAACACTTAAAGCTAAAGTAAATGAATTCTATTGATTTTCTTATTTGTAATATAAACTTCTATTAATTGATTAAGATTGATGCAAAAAAATCTGAAGTTGATGAACAAAAAGCAGAACTTAAACGAGCCAAAGCTGACTATAAAAGTTCGAAAAGTCAAACAAATCAGAAAAAAATGGAACAAATTGAAAAGAAATTACAACGTACAGAAGAAGCATTAAAAAAACTTGAAGTACAAGCACTTGATCGTGAAGAAAATAAAGATATTGCACTTGGTACATCGAAACTTAATTATCTTGATCCACGTATTAGTGTAGCATGGTAAACAAAAAAAAAATTCTTTGTCTTTTTTTTCTTAAAACTCTATGCTTTTATTTTAAGGTGTAAAAAATGGAGTGTACCAATTGAAAAAATTTATTCAAAAACTCAACGTGACAAATTTCGTTGGGCTATTGATATGGCAACACCTGATTATCACTTTTATAATTATAAAGGTGAAATTGTTCTACGTAATGTTGATGAAACAAATAATAATGGTGAAGATGATGATGAAGATGATGAACAAAATTCGGATGATGAGTGATTTTGTTTTGTTTATTTGTTTGTTAGTTTTTCTTTTTTTTTCTTTTTCTTTCCTTTTCCGTATTTCTCGTATAATTATGCGTGTAAAAAGCCAAGATCTTTACTCGCTTAGTTCCGTCTATTACATTTGTTCATGTATTGCTTTTCGTTTTTTTTTCCGTGTCTATTTCTTTCATTCGCCGCTTATAATGTTTTCTTTTTGTTTTTGTCTTGTTCTCATTACAATGTTATTCGTATTGACCAATAAAGACGAAGAGTCTTGAGAAAAATACTTCAGATACTATCTATCAACGACAAAATGCTTGTGAATCGCATTTTTTGATGAATATTTTTATGGATAGACAACTTGCAAAAAAACACGAAATTCTCAGAAGAATTTTTCTTTCTGTAGAGCTCATTGCGCTGATCATTTTAGTTAAAGAACAATATTCAAATTTACTCAATTGATCATGATGCTAGAACCAAAAATACTCAAACTTCGGCTATTCCTCTTTGCTACTGACCGATGGATGCTACTTTCGAATATTTTGATTCTATCAACATGGTTTATTGAGTAAATTTGAATATATTATTTTTAAGTAAAATGAATAGCATAACGAGCTGTACAGATGAAAAAAAATCTTGTGAGAGCCATGTGTTCTTTTATGATTGACTACCTATGAAAGTATCCATAAAAAAAATATTATTCGTAAATATTTTGTCGTTGATAGAATGCATCTTTAACGTTTGAATGAATATAAAGTTGAGGACTTACCGGAATCTATTGGATTTATTTAATCTAGCGGAGTTATCTATTAATAGTATATAATTACTAAAGTTAAACTGTGTCAAAAGAGAACTACAAGTCAATGCTCATTATCAGTTAGTAATTCTTGAAGCTGTTATACTGTTAATGTTCTTCTGATCGTACATTCAAGAACTCTCGAGAGGGTTTCATTTTAGTTAATTGCATCTGTTTTTGTTTGAAAAAACACGCGATGGTACAGTGTTTGACACAACTCGTTTTTTTTATTGAAACTTTTTTATGATTATATTAAACTGACTTCTATAAATCGATGACTATTTTTTGAGAGTTTTTCAAGTTGTTAAACATGTTATTCTTTTTCTTCGCATAGACAGAAAGGAAAAATTTTAAAAGAAAAACTCTGTCAAGCACTGCAGTTTGACACGCTCTTTCAAATAAGAGAAAAGTTAAATAAGTAGAATGAAAACTCATGGAGAATTTTAGGTTTGCTGATGAACTATTTTTTATCCTTCTTTCATGGATATCTCTCGGAAATATCATAGTATAGAGTTAAAAATTTTATTATAGTCTTTTGCACTATAGCACCAACATATTCTGAAAATTTTATGCAATTTGAATGTACAAGGTCCAAGATCGATTTTCAAGGATGGGAAGGGGACTTAACGAAATGAATATTTTTAATTGATATAATAGTTGTATATTGATGAGTTAATATGTAGAGTGAACTATAAATTATAGAATGCTGACCGATATGAGAAGCTTCTTGGTTTATGGATAAAACTTTCAAAGAAAAATTAAACAACAAGATTATTACCTGTGATTTAAATTCAAATTTAATCAACAAGTATATGGAATTAATCGAAAAAATGACTTGTGTTTGTTCTTTTTAATACTATCAACAGTTATAATTTTTCAAGTAATAATTTTCAATAGTTTCTTATGAGTATGAACAATTAACATTATGTTGCTACAAGTAATCGAAAAAAATCAGATCATTGAGTCAAATTGCAATGGATACATTCAGTATTTTTTTTTCATGGTCAAATAAATTTTCAACTAACCTTTGTTCTTCTGGAGTCTTTTGTTCGTCAATAAATGACAAAAGAATCAAGTATGAATAGAAAAAAGTATATAAATAGGGTTATATTGGATGAACAAAGCGTTTCCTGTACTACTAAAAATGAATTAGTCAAAGCTATGACTGATTACATGATCGTTGGTAGTTTTGTTTCATGCAATGAAACTGAAGAGTATGTCCTATGTTAATTCAATATGGATATAGAAAAACTTTATCAATTGAATATCAAGTGAAAAAAGAAACTTTCAGATTTGATAAATACATGACTGTGTCTAAAACACAATTTCACTTTATAAGCTATTATTAGTTATGATGATGCTATAAAATTTTGAAAACAAGAATTGTTTATAGTCAGTGTTTTCTGTTTTGCATACTATTACCTATAGTTTCAAGAATATCGAGAAATGAAAAATGAGAAATTGTATCAATTCTATGTCTTATAATTTGCTTAATAGCCCTTAATTTGTTTTTTTTTATCATAGACAATATTTTTTTAAAATTGACAAACAATAATAGAAATCACTTCAAGTGATTGATGATTTATTTATATCTTTTTTCAAGAAGTATAAATATATTTCTTTTCAAAGAAAGACTTGATTAGAAAATGAATTTCTATTGATCATCTCATCTTAATTCGTAATAATTGAACTTATACATGTTATATATTTATTTTTCAATTATACGTTATTTTTTCATAAAAAAATTAGAAGTCAGTTGCTTAGGATTGTTTCTGTTATCAAGAAACTTTTTTTTATTACCGATANTGAAATAACATAAGATCTCGTATACAAATTAGGGATAGTAGAAAGGTAATTATCCATAATCAATATTATTCACTATTGCGTCCTGTTCTTCATCTGGTTCCATCAAATGAACCAACAAAAATATGAACCAAACTCGCTACTATTGATGCCATGCTTTCAAGCTTCCATAGATCCAGTTGGGTTGGTCCTAGATCTGGCGGGATCCAAAAATTTTGGGCCTAACGAGCTTTAGTTGATAATAGCGAGCTTCGATTCATGTTTTTGTTGGTTCATTTGATGGAACCACATGAAGAACAGAACGGAATAGTGAATAATATTGATTATGGATAATTACCTTTCTACTATCCCTAATTTGTATACGAGATCTTATGTTATTTCAACTTAATCGTTACAAAACAACAAATTTAACAAATCGGAATTTTTAAAGGATATCATATATGTTTCGATTAGTAACAAACAAACAGTATCACCATTTGGTTGAATTAAGATAAAATGACGAGCTGATGAATATATCACCAATGAAATTGATTTTCATTGAAAAAATATTATTGAAATATTACGCATTATCCAGGTTTTATTGTCTGTTCTTTTGAAGGAGACCACAATGAGTTTTGTTATTTCTAAAGACTTTTTTACACAAAAGGAACGACATCTTAATGAATCGATATCAAGGTAGTTGTATACTGCTGAGTTACTTTCATATTACAATGTTGCCCAACTGTAGAAAAATTAGCGATTTTTTATCAGGTTCTTTATGGAGCTTGTTGAGAAAAAGAATTTCCTGAAATTTTCAATATGCTGAAAGGTTCTACATCTTTTAGTATAGCTTTCAAAGTTTCAGAATAAATATTTGAGAGAAAAAGTTTTGAAGTAGAAAATATGAAAATGGCAAAAAATCTCTTTGCGAACAAACTCAAGCTATTGTCTTTGGAAAAATTCAAAACCGTGAAAATCTTTCAACTGCTCAAGTCAACATTTAAATTATTTTATTCAAAATTAAATTCTACCGCCAACCATATAAAAATCTATGAGAATCCATTGTTCATAAAACAATTCATCATAAAATACATTCAGGAATTGTTTCAAGTTGTTAGTTTCGAGTCTTCTTTTTGTTGCGAACAAATATGCCACATATCTCTTTAAGATCATTATCTTCTCGAGCGAAAAATTCTCTATCTTTGACTGTATAATACTTTTACTCTCAAAATACGTTTTCACAAACACGCACCCACAAGTATCGTTTAATATCTCCAGAAAACAATAGCAGATCATAGATCGACAATTGAATACGTGTTAATCTTTTGAATTTTACAGCAAGGCGGTAAAATTTTTCAGAAAGATAAAACCGGTAGGTTTGTTAAAAGTTAAATTCTCTATCGAACGAACTCGTTAATACATTTTAAAATCATTGTTAAGCGTCTGAAAGACTCAGCATACAACTCAATCATATATTATGATCCACCCGTTACTTACCTGAGTCTATAGAACCAGTACATGCAGTCCAACCCATAACAGGTGGTATTGCTCCAACAATTGATCCTAACCAAGTATTAATAATATGTTTTCGTTTCATCGGCGTATAAATACATGTATAAAGTAAAAAATTCGATAATCCAAGAATACCAGTTAAAGCATTACAGCCTAATGTAAGAATAGTTACACCTGAAACTAATGTTACAGCTGCAAAACCAGTAGCATGCCGATAACTAAGTGTTCAAAAAAAGATATTTCATATAAATATATTAATAAATCATGCACACCTCATTTGACCGAGTACAAGCACTCGATTACGTGTGCGTTTCATTTGTGCATCATAAGGAATTTCCATAAGTTGATTGATCGTATTTGCTGAAGCTGATGTTAAAACTGTTCCAAGTGTAACACATGCAAGTAGTGGAATATTAATTGGAAGAGGAGCTACAATAAAACCATAAGCTGCTGTTGTTGCCACAAGAACTAAAACGAATTCATTTGATATTAAGAATATTCAGTTATTTTTTTAATCGTACTAGTGAGATTTTTCTTTGATAATCTTGTATAATAATCACATAATTGTTTTAATGAAACATGTGCATTTTTATTTAAATCTGTCGGAAGTATAGCAAGTTCTTGTTCAGTTTCTTTAAATGTATGCTTTGAATCGATATCATCAGCTTTTATGGGTGGATCACAAAATGGTTCTGATGTTGTCGATGTTGCAAGATTAATAATGTTGCTATTTGTTTTTTCGTTTTGTTTAATTGATGATGTTGAACTAGTTATCCATTCATCAGAATTTGTTATTTGAGAAACTTTCGAACGAGGAACCGATGCATATCTTCGATGATATGTTGATGATGTCTAAACAAAAAAAGAAACTAAATATAATGAATATTAATCGCTAATGATTTTTTTTACATTGGATGGTAAACGAATTATAGATGAATATTGTCGAGAAAGATTTGAAGAAAATAACTGAATTGATTGTATACGTATGGTATGAATTGCTTGACCATAACGAGGTACAATGAAAGACAATAATAAACGATTCATTATGAAAGTTAGCACATCTAGAAATACAAATTTAATAGATTGCTGGATTATTAATCGATGCAAAGAAGAAAAAAGATAAAAATAATATCTTTGTATTGTTAGTAATCACGATCAAGTAGTGATGATGTATCGAGTTTATATGTAATTTCAGTCTGTTTTATCGCTTTCAACAAGATATTGTGAATTCTCTTGAGATATTTTCATATGATGATTTTTGATCTTTTATATCTTATGTTAGTCTTTTTTTACAAGCATACTTTTGACTGGATCCTTTAAAAATGAATTTCATAGAACCTTGTTATCTGTTTTTTATTCATTTGATATCGTGTTCTTTGATATTATTGTCGAATGTTGACTAGAATACAATGCTTATAGAAAAATCTTAAATTATTTAAATTAAAAGCTTAAATCATTGTTCGAATAAATCTCATAAAACAATCTCTAAAATTTATAGTTGTTTTTCTATCGATCGTTAAATTATTACTTCATTGGCTATTTCTTTTTACGTCGAATATATACATTTGAGTTACCATGAAATATCAGCGACTGACTTATATCGACATCTGTCGAAATCCGATAGATTGACTTAGTAATAAGACCTTTGGTTTTCATGACAAATATTAATTCATATTGAAGATATAGAGTACGACAATGTGTTTTTGAAATTATTATGTTGAAACGCCATTAGCAATTCATAAACAGAATGATTTGTAAGACTTGCTTTATTCTTAATAATAATAGAAAATTAATTTGAGACGTGTGAGTTCTGTAAATTTTCACTTCAATAATTATATTTTTTATTTGTACTATTTCGCAGATGTTTATTGTTGAATGGAATTGTATTAACATTCGTTTATATGACACTACATATATTTTATTTTGTGAAACGATCACGAGTAATATCAATTATGCAGTCATACGTAGTTTGCATAGCTTTTTATTATGATCAATTATTGTTTAAATTACGTTAGAAAATAATAATTCATCGTACTATGTTCATTTGACCATAAAATATTTTATCAAAAAATCGTTCAATTCTATATTTTAATTTAAAAGTGTGAAGTCTGAAAAGCCAATTAATATTTACTATTTATGTAATTTGCAACAGTCTTGAAACATTTTTTGCTTACCGTTTGATTTACTACGAAAACTGATCAATAGCTGTCATGTAATTTGTTGATCTTTAATATAACTCAAATCGACGCTCGATATTTAACAATTTAGTAAGTATCATATTTTTTTGAATAAAACTTTCTTTCTACTATTTAATGCTTTAGATATTCTCTAGAGAGAAGTTTATACAAATAGAGGAGATATTACAGAATGCCTCCTCCTACATAAGAACATCTATTAATAATCGTCATTTGTAAATAGTGTGAACAATAACATCTAGTTGTTTTTTAATATTTTATACATATATGAATCGTTTTCTATGAATATTGAAGAGGCATTATGTGATCAAGACTAATTTGTTAAATCCTTCCCCGCAATAGAAAATACCCTTTGGAGGAACACTGCACCAGATATAATAGAAGACTCTTCTTAATCAACCAAGTTATGCATAATTGTTAGGATTTTTAGTTAAAAATCTTAAAAGATTGACGTTAAAATTATTTAGTTGCTTTTGAAATACTAAAAATGTCTTTCCAAATCTTCTACATCAGTGTAATTTTTTGAAAAATTCCTTTTAATTAAAAGTTATGATAATAAATACAAAACAATAGAAGAACTGTATTCCTTCCTGGTAACTTGATACACTTGTATATAATAAAAGATCACAAATCTTCAATTTCGGAAAGAGTTTGATACATTCTTCTTAAGTTCAATAGCATCTGTAATAGAAATCATCATTTTTGCCTTTTGACATCACAATGAAATAGAAGAAAATTTTCTTATCATTCATATCATAGTTTTAATTATCTAATTTTCGAACGATACAAATTCAGACTACGAAAGTTGAACTATATTGGAGAAGAAAGCGAAGAATAAAAAACCCTACGAAAGGATTTATTAGCCATATAAACTTTTTCAGGATATATGCTAATTTCATTTACCAATCAAGAGTTTATCGAGGTTTAAGGTAGAGCTTATTATTCTACACTTTCTTTTTTACAGTATGTAACAACGATGATAATTATAAAATGCATTTATCTTACAATCTTTGTGATTGGTTTTTTATATTATTCTGGAATCTATAGTCTTCTTCTAAAGCAAAATTGTATATATATATTCGATTTTGCTACATGACATTTTACATTTGTGTTGGATAGAACAATCAGATATACGATAATGGATGTTGCACTTAATGGAATTTTTATAAAGTGCTAATACTCATAGTCGAACAGTTTGCTATCAATTGTTTTGACAAGTTTTAGAGCCACTTTTATGGCAATGATTTTCAACTACGAAACACATTGCATGTGAAAAAATCCAGGCAAGAGCATATAGGTGATTTTAACAGGCAAATAGTGAAAATCAATGGAGCTTGGACATAGTATTCCGAGTCGACAAGTTAAACAAATTTTTCTGATGAATTTTGATCAATGAATTAACGGGTGGCCCAGATTAAATGGACCTCTCAGTATTTTGACTATAACTTTTTTTCTTTTTGGTCTTTAGAGCTAATTGTTTTTCCAAAAGATGCGCCGTCAAATTCTCTGTAAAATCATAATCAAACTTATTTGTGTAGAAAGATAAGGAAAAAAATTAAACCAAGATTATCCGACACATTAAAAGTACCCAATTTTCAAAGCTGACGGATGTCTCATAAGTGTCCGATGTTTGTATCTCTTTTTTCTGTCGCCAAGCACATTATTTTTGGAAGTAAAGTATACCATACGATGCAACGTGAAAATCTCTACAAGTTACATTAAAAATCTTAT